AGGAACCATCATTAACAGATATCATGCACATGAAATGTCGACATTTTCAATTATTAATTTCAAAATAAATCTTTTTAATTTATTTCTCATAAATTATTCAAAATAATCTTTTAAATATATTATTATTATTATATATTATTCTATATGAACAGTAACTATTTTATTTTTTTCTTTTTAATTATTCTAATTTTCTTTTTCGATAACCACTCTTAAAATTTATATAGCTTTCAAAATACAAGCTTGTCATTTTATATTCATCATTTCACAAGTAATCTATCACAATAATACTTAACAACATTCATCATCATCCCACACATAATATCATAATCTAAACAACATATATAATAAATAACATATATAGAAATTGTAATGGTAATGAGGTGATGCGGGATCTTGCGTCGTTGTAGATCGGATCCGACGTGGAGGAGCGCAACAGCGAACTTGGGAAGAGCTCCGGCGAGGACTGTTCAACGACGGGCAGCGAGATCTGAGGCGAATCTGGGGGTTGTCGACGTCGAGGCTGTCGGAGGGGTTGAGGGTTGCTGCGGTGATCGTCGGCGGTCGCGTTCGGTGATGGAGGCGGCCAGAGGCGGAGGGGGCGCTCGGGTGGGTGACCGCGGGGCTGCTGAGGCGGCGAACGGCGGTTGGAGGCGGAGGTCGGGTGGCGAAGGAGGATGGGTTCGGTGCTTGAGGAAGAAGAAGAAGAGGGGGTTTCTTTGGGTGAACTGGTGGAGAGAGAGAGGGGGGCACGTGAGAGAGAGAGAGAGAAAATATTTGATTAGTTGGTTTTTGAAATTTGAAAATGAGAGAAAATGGAAGGAGAGATAAATGCACGTGATTAAGAAGAGAAATGGTATAAAATAAACATGATTAAGGGGGTGATTGGGAAGTGATTAAGGCTGATTGGGAAAAGAATTTGGAAGGAATTCAAATGGGAGGAAATTAAGGGAGAGAATATTATGGGAATATTTTGCATGATTTTTCAAAATAAACATTATATTAATAATTAGACATAATAATATTAATAAATAATTAACAACTAAATATTTATATTTTTACATATGTACTAATATACTAAGCTCAGGTTTACATTAATAATAACAAGGTCACTAATAATATTAGCTACCAAAAGATTATATATAAAAATTACTAAACCGTAAATTAATATTTAGCATAATTAAAAATAGAAGACTATATATTTTATTATTCATTTATTTTGAAAACTCAGAGAATTCCAGAATTTAGGAAAAGTATTAATAAAATATAATATAATATTTTAAATACTAGAAAAATTTATTTAAAATACGTATTAAAATTTACGGTTGTTACATCCTACCCCCCTTAAAATAAATTCCGTCCTCGGAATTAAAAGAACACAAGAACAAAGATATGGAACGAGAGTGGATACTCGCAAATCGATGAGACAAGAAACAATGTGAAGTTCCAGAGTCAAATGATGATAAGGCAATAACGGAAGAAACAAGAACCTTATCTAGTGTTGAAGGAAAATACATCTAAACTAGCACTCATAAATAAATCCTATCATAATATCATAATGCAATGCGAAATAAGAAAGTTCATACGCAAATAAAATTAAGAATAAACTATTCTCACCGGTGATAACTTGGTTGTTCGCTTCTGCTTCCACAGCTGACATCGTGAACATCTGACGAGGTGGTTGCTGCCTTCGCGCTTCCTGATAAACCTGCTGCTGTTGAGGAAGAGACCCTGCTTGAGGATAAGGTCCGTGCTGGGCTGTAGCTGCTGAGTCTGATCGAGGTGGAGCTGGAAGAGCTGCTCGAACTGGAGGGGGGGGCAAGCGAGCTTGCTGTCGCTGCCAGATTAAGAAGCTTGCGGCATTCATGCTGAGTATGTCCAGTGTAGTTACAAAAGGAACACCGCACAGATGGCTGGTTGCGAGTCTGCACTCCAGGACGCTGATAGGGATGCATAGGAGGAAGTGGCTGGCGATGAGAAAACTGCTATCGCTGTGGATTCTGCTGCTGCCTCGAAGGTGAACGCTCGATATTCCGGACTGGAGCCGTTTGTGTCCTGCTATGAATCACGTGAGAGTCTTCAGGATCCTTCTAAACGCTCTCGATCTCGCGTGCTACATCCAACACGGCGTCGTGGGTCGCAAGTGCTCTACCAGCTAGAGCAAACCTGATATACTTATCCAGACCCTTCTGAAACTGATGCCTCCTGATCCTCGGGTCTGTAACTAAGTGTGGAGCGTATCGGCTCAAAGAAGAAAACTCGGCCTCGTACTCATCTACTGTCCGGCCTCCTTGCTTGAGCTCCACAAATCTTCGCAAAAGCTCGTCCCGAGCTGACTGAGGGAAGTACTTCCTGTTGAAGCGGTCTGTGAAGGTATCCCACAAAATCGGTCTCTCCAAATGAGCTTTCTCTGCAGTCCACCAAATCCGAGCGGTGTCGGTAAGCTGAATATCCATGAGGTCCACCCATTCAGCATGGGGGATGCGGGTCACCGTGAGAATAGTCTCCGTGACCTTAAGAAACTCCTTTGCTGCTAAAGGTCCCTCGGTACCAGAAAAGAAAGGAGGTCGCATATACCGGAACTCCCTGACGCTAGACTCTGGACGAGGGGGAGGCTGGGGCTGCGGCTCCCTGTGAAGCTGTCCCGCCAAGTGCTGCTGATTGGTAACCAATCCCTGAATCATTGCCAGAAGTTGGTTTGGATCCACTTCGGGCTGTGGGGCACTGCTACTAGACGGGTTATCGTTACTACGAGTACCCACCATGATTCTGAAGGAACGAGGATCAAAAGGAAAATTAAGGTTAAAATCAAATAATATATTTGGAAAATAGGAACTAAAACATAGTTATTAAATAATAGTATAAGAACTTAATTATAGTCTAAAATAATAATATAAGAACTTAATTGTAGTCTTACGGATGAAATATGATATATATCTAAATTGTCTACCATATTTTTACTAGTGATGATTCGGACCGTGACCTGCATGGGCCACCAAAAAAAACTGTCACGCCCCGCTTCCCAAAATACCGGGGAACTGGAACGTGAACAAGCCCGCGACGTATTAGGTTGAGAAGAAATATTCACTACTATCTTTTTTTTTCTTTTCTTTTCTTCTCAATCCAATACGCTAAGCGTCTGGAAATAAGTATAATACGAAGTCACAGGTCCCCGATCACACATAGCAAGAATATAAAGACAACCCAGAATAAAAATAGACATATCATCAATGGTAAATCATCTCAGACATAAAAATATGGGTCAAACACGCCCTTATTACAAAAACGGTTCAACTAGGAATAAAATACATAGTCCATAAAGAAAGTACTGTTAAAATAATAAATCCGTCATCAACTAGAGAAAAGTACGGTAAAAATGTTTTAATGTTCATCAGCTACTACAGAGAAAACTACTACGCTTCAGATTGTTCTTCTACTCCACCTGCGAGGCACTCCTACTGAGAATCTTCTGGTTCTTGCACGATTCCGTACTGAGGCTGTCCGTCTCCTAAATCTGACGTACACCCAGAAAATAGGAGTACGTCAGCGTGTGGAACACACGGCAAGATCCCCCAAGGCAGAAACAATACAATAACAGTATTGATAATATATGCGTGGTCAATGCGACAACAGAAATAGAAATAGAACATATGATGATAGTAATAATGTTAGAGGCATGCAACTGGAATACTAATAATCAGATGAATTCAAAAATCAACCAAGTAAGAAGATCATGCAGGTAGCGATCAAAATAATCACCCAAGTAACATGTTCATACACAAGATGGAATTAATACTTAAAAATCTACAACTCGAGACGTAGTACGTCGAGCGAAATAATCCAAACAAGGAAACCCTCATGTATATACCATATGTCTCAAATTGTAGATAACTAAATATTAACTCCAATCTATGTATGAAAAGAACACAACTAGCCATCCTATCACAACTCACTGGTCCCTATCTCACACAGAGCCAA